GCTCTGTTGAGAATGTCTTGAGTCTTAACCAGGAATATACTCTGGGTTGAGTAAACTGGACACGTTTTTGGAACCACATACCTCGAGTAAGCAAGGTTTTGGGTTAATCAACCGAAAGTTCAGGGTTTAGCGGCCGGTAAGTTAACCATGCTTTCTGGAATACACCCCTGATGTTCCTCAGGTGGAAATAAATACAGCTATGTTAAAGAAGAAAAATATTATTGTGATGACATTCAAGTCATTAGATGGTTATTTCTCAAACGTTGCTCAGATTGTTTGGTTTTGTAAATGTTACATGGATCTTGCAAACAGTAAGAAATTCAATATAGTAAAACACCTGCTGGGTCTGGACTCGGTTCTTCTGACTCTTCTGGTGACAGGTTGGGTGGGATGAAGCTGACTGGCACAGGAACGGGTTGAGGGTACATGACAGGCCCCGTAGGAGGGGGCATGTATGGAGGTGGGGGATACATTGGTGCTGTCATTGCATGGCTAGGGTCACTCTCAGTCGCAGTTTTTTGGTTCTCTACATCCGTCATCCTAAACAAGATGTGGTTAGTTGAGACTGCAGTGTCAGAATGTCAAAATAACAGGAAAAGATTTTTCCATTTTGAGGTAGAAGTGTCTATGAGTCAAAGAAAAAAAACATGTAGAAAAAGCACCACAGTGTACAGGAAATGGTGGGGTCTGTAGTGTTTGCTTGTTATTGTGTGGTTTGTTACAGTTCCATTTGATATGCCAAAAGGTTAAGATGATCCTGAAAATTATCCTGAGTACTGATATAAGAAATACTGATAAAATAAAATGTGAAATTTTCCAGTTTTTTTAAAGATATTACTAAAGACATTTTAGTAACATTCACAACTTTAAAAAAATATAAATAATAATACACTTTTATAAATAAATAAATGTATCAATATATTGGGAAAAGACTAGATGATCATTTTTTCCAAGTGTTTAAAAATAAATCACTCTTCTCCATGAACATATAATTTTAAATTTATGTGTTAATTTTACTACAATACTTAATATATTTCTGCTTTAATATTATGAATTCTTCTAGTTGTCAGGAAAGACAAGAAAAATTCCAAAAATCACTTCTATTGACTGATATTTTTTTTCCAATTTTTTTTTTCATGAGGTGAGTGCACAAAAAAAAGCTTTTAAGACAGCATACGTTTAGGTGTACCACTTCAGCATGTTTGTGTATTGTTTTACTTGATTCTTCTTACCCTCAGTGTGGTCTGGTTTGAAGTCTGAGCACTCAGAGCTCTAAGATGTTAATGCCTCATCTTTGTTTCACACAGACTAAAGTTGGTTCCATATCCTCCCATTACATCATTTCCAAAACACCCTCTGTGGAAAATCTGCTGTGAAGTAGTTCACACAAATGCACACAATTGACCAAAAGTTGCTAATGTAAAAGTTCACACCACTGGCTTCCTTTCTCAGTGCCCACTTTTTGAATTAGTACTTATGACTCCACCATTAAATGACAATAATTCTAATATGCAATCTTTAACCAGTTGCATCGTTTGACACAAAAAATAGGCAAATCCTAAAATCTTGACTTTGCAAGCTTGTGTACATTTGCAGATATAAAGCAACATGCTAGATTTTCTAGACTTTCTAGCACATCGTCTTAGTACTATTGTAAAAGTAAGTTGACTTTGTTTGCCTGTTCAGTTGTGTGTGTATGGGGGTCTGGTTAACAAGTTTCACAAATTCAACCACAAAATGCAAGTGCAGCAAGAGCTGTCGGAATATGTTATATAGAATTTTGACACTTCATGACAAAACCCACTTAGCTCAGGCACAAGTGCTTCCTTTTTAACAGAATTTAAAATGTTTACCATAAAACAAATATGAAATTATGGTGACAGTGCGTTTTACACACACACTGTATATATACACATGTAAAATGTAATATATTTCCATTAGCAAAGATGATCCAAAGCACAACAACCATCACACTTAAGCATATTTATTGTAAAAAATTACATATAAAAACATATTTTTCAGACATACAAAATATTTAGGCATAGAAACAGCATCATGGACAAACAAAAGACTAGTCACCATTTTGAAATGTGATACATATTTACACTTTAATAAATAAATACTCAATTGTTCTTTAGCAGAATGAAGGCAGATTGTCTGTGTTTGGGGATGTGAATATATGCAAATCATATTGACCTAAAGAACATTCCCAACTCATTCATATTTGACCAACAACTGTCGAAACACAGGATCAAGCAGGTAGATACCCTTAGCACTGAATAATTACAGAACTTGCTATGGTATTTATACTGTGTATATATAATATTTAAAGGAAAAAAAAAACAAGCAACAACTTTGGAGTTAGCTAAGCCCCATGTTAGTATAGTAAATATGGATATTGAGGTATGGCACCACATTAAGTTAAAGGGCAAAAGCTAACTTAGAGAGCTTAAAAGATTGTCAAAATACTCTGACAATACCTCCCTCCACTCCACAATGCACTACACCGACACAAAACATAAATGTAACTGTAAGAATGACTTTTGCCTTTGACTCACACAGACACACTTGGCATTTCTCATGTTTTCAATTGGAAAGAACCGTCAGACTGTCCTGTAAAGGAAACGCATTACAATACTTTCAAAGTTAGAAGTAACCTCTCTGCTGAGAAAAGCAAATTCTCCGTTCAGAGGTCTTACCACTCAAAATATGATTCCTCAAGCTAAGGCAAAAAAGTAACAGACCAAATGACCTCTACAAGACACAATAGAATAATGAACATGTTAACACCCACAATCAGCAAACCCCATAAACCTCAAAACATGAAAGATCTTCTCAAAGTATTTACCCTGTGTAGGTCTGTCAAAAAAAACAAAAAAAAAACTATTACCGTTCCATCATATTTATTCCATTGTTCTTTCCAAGGGGGTCGACGACATTGTCATAATTACCCATCAGCCGTTCACAATCGCCATCCTCAGGCAAAGCAAGCGCCATATGGCATTACTGTGCCTGACATACATCTCCGTACCACAGATGCCTCATTCAACGTAGAGGAGGCCTGGTGTAAAGAGTGTAAAGTGACAGGATTTCTCCAGGCTACTACGTCTGAGATGCAAAGAGGCAATTTCACAAACCTTCCCTCCAAGAGTAGTACATGCTGTCAGTTCATCAGCGTCAAAATCTTTTGCATTCGAGTACACACACGCACTTCACTGCAACCAATAACATCTATTGTCCTAACTAGTGGAAGTATCGCTCTGATCTGTTAACAATATACAGCTGAATTGAGTAAAAGCAATCAGATCAAGAGGTTAAAAGAGCTTGATGTGGTAATGAGAGGGAGTTTTGCCTCAATGGTTAAAATCACTATTCATGGTAGTTTAAATCGAACAAATCTATTGGAAATTTCACTCTGCCTTTTTGATGTTCCTACAGTAACAAAAACAGAAAAGGGTAAAAGACTATCCCCCAAAAATATAAATCATCATGCCTTCAATCATATGTAATCCTGTGCAATATTTACGCATGTACAACTCACTTGCTTTCCATCCGGGATCTTCCCAACACACTCTACAAAATCAAGTAGTTCATTCAAGCCAACGCAACCCCAGCAGGCTGCACAAAACCAAACGCTAAGCCTGGCATAAATTACAGATTGCCACGTTTCCATGGTAAGAACAACACCATCCCTCCGGGAGATCAAGATGTCCATGAAGAGAGACGATCCATGTGTAACTTCTCACCATTTACATGTTTCTTTTACAAAGTTCTGTTCAGTTTACAAGTTTCACTCTGAGCTTTAAAGAAAAGAGTTAAGAGAGGAAAGGCAAGCAGAGCAAACCCGCCGTTCACGCAGGTGCTGTAGAGCAGAGAAAAGCCAAGTCTCAAGAATCACATCAGATAGTTAAAGCCAGGCTCACTCAAGGCCAGACTGATTAATCTGACCACAAGTGTTGATGCTTGTTATTTGTTTTTGTTCCTTTGTGTCTTTCTCTCAGTCCTCTCATCAGAAAATATATGCTCCTGCAAGGGGGTATTGTCTCCTAAAAACATGAAGCAGAGAAAATACACACTTAAGATATTAAGTTACTCACCCTCAGGTCATCCAAGACGTAGATGAGTTTGTTTCATAAGAATGAATTTCAAGAAATTTAGCATTACATCACTTGCTCACCAATGGATCCTATGCAGTGAATGGGAATGAATTAACTGATTGACTGGAGTCGTGTGGATTACTTGTGGATTATAGTGATGTAGACTAATTCTCACGGCACCCATTCACTGCAGAAGATCCATTGGTGAGCAAGTGATGTAATGCTAAATTTCTCAATCTGTTCAGATGGAAAAACAAACTCCTCTACATCTTGGATGGCCTAAGGTTGAGTACGTTTTCAGCAAATTCCTTTTAAGGAATCATTCACTTAAAAATGTTTAAAAACTTGTATGGGTTTCTTTCTTCTGAAAAATTTTTTAACAAAGAAAACTACTTGAATAACCAAACTTACCTGAGTCAAAGTGTCATTGCACGTAAAGACATGAATCAATCAAAAGGATGCTCAGGGCAGCATGGCTTCACTTTGCTCCATGTGTCAATGCAGCTATTTAGAGAAATATCAGCCATTACATATTTGAAAACATTTGTATAGCATATATATATTATATATGATATTTGCATATCATTGCTCTTTTGTTGATTTTGATTGCTTCCATTGTCCTCACTTTGTAAGTCGCTTTGGATAAAAGCGTCTGCTAAATGTAAATCCTGACTATTATTATTTGGATTTAGGATGTTATGGTTACCTCTTATGGTAGACACACAGGCAGGCCAGTCGAGCAATGGTTTCCCCTTGTAGCAGGTCTTCGAGACAGATTGAACACTCTCCACTGTCCTTAGCTAGCACATCAGCTGTTGGACAAGATAAGAGAATTAACAACCAAGTTATTAGCAGATGAAAGAAAAACAACAATAAAAACAAATGGGATGCTTACTGTTATAAGGGAGAGGTGGAGAAGTCAGACAACTTAGAAGATGGTCCTCGATTCGCCCTCCAGGGAACGGCTTGGTGCAGAAGGGACACCGAATAGCTGGAAAGGAGGGGAAAACAATCAAGCAAGTTGTCTAGCATTGTAAAATGGAGATGTAGAAAGGGTTTTGTGATATGCAGACCAGTCACAGTAATAGACGGGTGAGTATGCGCCCATGTGGCCCACTTTTCAGAACCTTCTGGCTGGACTACAGCCAACGGACCAATATTGTGTAAAAAAAAAATACACAAAGATCATCAAGTGAACCGGGTTCACCTCTGGTCTTTGTGTTTCAATCCATCATAGATCATCCTGTCAGGAATGCTTGAAATGTCTACAAAGCCTAATTACATTGCAAGCTCATTAGTCTCGTATAGACTCATTAATCTTTTTTTAATCACCTTCCATGTTTTATTTGGTTTAAAACAGATAATACTGAAAATTAACTCACATTACAGTCAAAATGGGCTTGTTGTCTACATTATTATGTATATAAACTTTCTGTAACAATTACAATTCTGTTACAATAAGATCCCATTAGTTAAAGCATTAACAATGAGCAATACATTTATTACAGTATTTATTCTTTGTTGGTTCATGTTAGCTCAGGACCACTAAATATTATTAACAGTTTTTTATTCTAATAATATATTAATAAATGTTTAAGTTAACATTAACTAAACTTAATAAATGCTTTCAAATATTATTGCTAGTCCTTGTTAATGAATGCTAACAAATGGAAGCTTACAGTAAAGTGTCACCAAACTTTCATTAAGCTAACTAGATTAATGAACGTTTTTGGATTGACATTTGCTTGCATGTGGAAAACCAAATGAGATGAATATTAGTGACTAGCAGATGCAGTCACTTTCAATGAAAGTTAATGGTAAAGAGGGCTGTCTAACATCTTTTAATGAAACTAATATAGATCTGAAACATAAGGAGAATAAACGATGACAATTTAAATTTTGGGGTGAACTCTCTCTTTGAATACCATGAAAAGGACCATATAAGATTATTTTGGTTTATACTTATATATATATATTAATATAATATATATATATATTATTATTCAATGTAAACAGTGCAGGTTTAAATGACAGAACTGGAGCTGAATAGGGTGTAACGTCTGAAATGACTACTGCGGGAAAGGAACGGCGAGTCTTTCAACTTACCACCGTGGCGGTTGTTGACCCTGTAGAGGCCGATCCACGCCTCAGACACTGGCCGGGAGTGAGTCCCCCTCACCCGGGCGGACCTGCCTGTGACGCCGCTGGCGGAAGAATGGCGACCACCGGGCAAACGCTCCGAGAAAGTGCGCTGCGGTGCACGGCCTATTTCCTCCCTGCTCACAGGGCCTCCTGGACTGCCATCCTCCTCGCGTTTCTCCTCGGCCCCGTTCTCGTCCGTCGGCGTGGCCTGGCTGCTCAGAGACGGGGACATGTGGCTGTCGGCGGGGCTGCCGTCGCTGCTCGCCTGCTGCCCGGTATCCGAGTCGCTGCCCTCTTCCGACCGGCTGCGGTTTGTCTCCGAGTCATGGTCGAAACTCCCGGAGAACTCCACCATGAGGCTAGTGGGCCTGGTGCTTCGGATTCGTCGACAGGACTCTCTCTTGATGCCATCTTTATCGAAAGGTGTCGAAGGAGTCTCCTCGTGTAAACGGCTCGATCTCGTCCCCATGTTCAACCGCGCGCAGAGCTCGCGCACTCCCTAATACCGATCGATCGATGACTGATCAGCTAACACGATTGCTTCCGTCACAAAGCCCTTAGGCCATATAACTTAACCATATGCCACATTTATTTAAAAGTCGTAAAGTTAGCACAGAGATGTGCTGTGTTTTAATTTCTCTTTCAGTTATGACAACAGCCTACCGCATTTTCCTTGCAGTTATGTTTTGTGGTCCCTGTTCAGCGCATCATACCGGAAGTTGGCTTCTTTCCTTCTTCGTTCAACCGACAGTGTGACGTCACGCCCTAAATTAACTTTTTATCCAATCATAGAGCAGGCACATGAATGTTTGAAAAGTATGTGATTTTGTTTCGTGAGAATTAACATTATGTTCGATATGAGTTCTCCACAAGTCAGTTTACGAGAGTATGAACGTCACGAACCTGTGTTGTCTTTTAAATTAATTTTGTTAAAGGATGCAATGCATTTTTGTCGAGATTTAATATTATTATAATAATATTTTATATTTTATAGATTAAGTCTATAAATTTGCATTTGTTGTTCATTCATGTTTGTTTTATATATATATATATATATAAATTGGCAATAAAAACGTCACTATACAGTCTTTTCCTCTTTCAAAGTGACAAAAGACTAAACATTTTTTATTTAATCTTTATATTGGGAGACAACAGTAAACGCTTTTCAAATACATTCAATATATTTCTATGCTGATTAGTTTCATATCAATGCACTTAGTATTAGTTGTAAAATTATATTAGAAGAATAGAATATTCCCAAAACAAATCTGAAGTGTTATTATCACTGCAGATTAGTCGGAGTCGGTGATGCAAGTCCAAACAAGACAAAGGTCATGTTTACTTTTATTGTATCATGTGGTTCCATATTGCCCCAAACTGTGCAAAATTCAACATGCACCATAAAAACATTAGCCAGAAGATGTTGGCAGCTCAAAAGACACTCTTATTGCTTTTTGTTGGGGTCTCACTGGCACATGATTTCATTACATCAGCACAGCTAAAGAACATTGAGGAAAGGCTTAGAGCCACTGAGGAAACACTTACAGAACTGAAGAAAGAGAATGAAGGTAAATATCTCGCAGTAATAGTTGCGTGAGTTTTCTATATCTACATCTCATCTATTTTGTTTGATCCATTTTCACCTTCACAAAATACATTGATCTGGTGAGTCATTTCCATCCCAAAACACAATAACAAAATTCTTCAATGTTCATTGAACAGCTTTAAGGATTTTCACAAAAGCATCAAGTGATAAACTTGAATCTATCCAGGCAGAAAATAAAGGTAAATGAAAATATTTATTCTGTTATGTTAGATATAAAACCAAGTGAAATGATGAAAAAAAAAAAAAAATTCACTTACCTTTACAGCCAAAAAGGTTGCCTTTTCAGCTGGACTTTTGGCATCTGGATCACAACATTTTGGACCCTTTGATACTCGGAAAACTCTGGTGTACCAAAAAAACTTCATTAATACTGGAAATGCATATGACCCCAACAATGGTAAACTGTGCTATTCATATTTCTTTATTATGTTAATTGTCCATTGCGAGTATGGATATTCAAGTAATAAAAGGCATTTCTTTACAGTTCCTAAATTCATATGTTTATGTATCTCAAAGGTACATTCACCGCACCAGTCAATGGAGTCTATTTCTTCAGATTTTATGCTCACGCTCACCCTTCTAACCAAATGGCAGTCAGTCTCCACAAAAATAATCAGATCCAATGCTCTGTATTTTTTTTAAAATCCTGAGACCAATGCTAATGGCAGCAATGGTGTTGTTCTCTCACTGCAGAAGGGTGATGAAGTGTACACACAGCTGAGGGAGAACAGCTGGGTTTTTGATGATGAAAACAGTTACACCAGTTTCAGCGGTTTTCTGCTTTTCCCCTTTTGAGTGTCCACAGAATCCAGAATTGGATTGAAAAGATGTTTATGCCACTAGTGTTGTAATGATATTTGTGTGATATTTGCCTCAAAGAAAGAGAACATTGTATTATACTTTTCTTGTGTTTTTAACTTAGGTAACCATATGGATTTCATATTGAAATGAATGTATCAATATGCAGTACATTTTCCAGTATGCAATAAATTTTTAACAGCCACAAAAAATCAGTGTGTCATTATTTTACAAGTCTTGATTGCATTTCACTAAAGGAATAGTTCACCCAAAAATGAATATGTGCTGAGAATTTACTCACCCTCAGGACGTCTAAGATGTGGATGAGTTTGTTTCTTTATCTGAACAGTTTTGGATAAATTTAGCATTACATCACTTGCTCACCAATTGATCATCTGCAGTGAATGGGTGCCCGCAGAACGAGAGTCCAAAGAGCTGATAAAAGCATCATAATAATCCTCAAGTAATTCACACAACTCCAGTCCATCAGTTAATATTTTGTGAAACAAAAAGCTGCATGTTTAAACTAATTTATTAAGACATTTTAACTTCAAACCATTGCTGAACTGTACCTGATAAGCTAGTAGAATATTAATGGGTGTTTTTCATGAGGCTAATTCACTCTGTTTTTATAAGATTTCTTTTATTCCTTCTTCATTCAAACATCAGAGCAGTAAAAATTCATAATCTGTTTCACAGTTCACACACCACATGCCATGCTGAATTACAGTTAATGTCATTCCACACACCACTTTTGTAAATAGCTGTACAGTCCTCTGCTCCATTATAATCATTCGGCTCTTTTTCCATCCAGTTGGTGAAAGTTAATGGTTGGTCACTCATATCCACAAAATGCCCTTCTTTCTTTCTGTCTGTTGCACCAACATATACGTTAGTAAACTCAAGGACAGCCTGCATTGAAGTTAGCACGTTATTCTCATCTTCACTTCTTGGCAGGACAATTTTAGCCCCAGCGTCAGAGCAGAGCTTCTGTGCCTTATCAAAATTTCCCACCAGACCATCAGACACGTAATACTTCTGTCCCACTTTCCTGAACGTGCGAAATCCTAGAACTAAACATTAAAAAAATATATATTTTTAAAGAAATGATCTTATAAACACATCTTATAAACATCTTACATGAATAAACAAAATATGTATAGTGCAAACATTTTTTATAGGAAAATTCTACCTTTCTCAACTATAGTGAGTCTGTCTGTTAGGTATTTGACATCTGATTTAAGTTGTAATGCGCTTTGAACACCAGTGCCTGTAAAAGCATAGCAGAGTGAATATCAGAAGCAGAAAATACCAAGAAGTAGCTATATTCTGTCTATATGTAACTATAAACTCAATTAAGATATGGTTAAAGGAAAATACTTGATCACAGTATATAATCTCATTATTTATTGATTGTTTGACTGATTTTTTATTTTTATTCTTGCATTGTTTTCAGAAGAAAAAAGATAGACACCAAGCTTGAATAAATGATTTTCTGTTTAATAAAATAAAATATTAATAATAAAATAATCTATTCACTGTGCTTTAATTTTACCTGGTGTACCTGGATTCCCTTTGTCTCCTTTAGGGGCAGCAACACCAGGTGGTCCTATTTTCCCTGGGGGTCCCTGTGCACCAACTCCTGCAGAGTAAGATTGATGATTAAATCTCATTTCTCAGATCTGCAGTCGCCTTGCCTGTCTGCATTATGTTCTACATCAAACTTTATAACTTAACTTAAACATAATACACCAACAACTAAAAGCATAAACCTGGATCTCCCTTTTCCCCTTTTTGTCCAGGAAACCCGTCTCTTCCATCTCTGCCAGGGCTGCCGTTGTGTCCAGATGTGCCCGGCACCCCAGAATAAGATGGACAACTACTTTCAGCTGCAGCTATTAGCAGCACAAACTGCATTAGGAGCAGCGCAGCACAGATCTGATGCATTAACAGCGCCATCTGCTGTTCACTGTGGAAACAAGCAGGATTTATGTTGCCGCAGCCGTCAGAGAACACGCACTCTCGAGTCCAAAGGAAAATATTTTTACCGTTTATAAAATTATTTTCACTTTTTAAAAATGATTTTCACTTCATAAAAATGTAATTTCACTCGGAATATAATTATATTTAATAACAACGGTATTTGATATTATAATTCATATTTATTGATTGCAAACAAGTTCACAATGGAAAGTAAAAAGAAGGTAAATTAAGAGCAACAAGTGTAACTTTTTCTCTCACATTTTCAATTCTCTATTGAATGTTAAAAAGCATTCTGCCCAACAGTGGTCTCATATCAAAGTTATAAAATACTGAAAACTTGATAACAAAACATACTGACATGTAGGCTACTTCACTCTTTTGTTTACCGCTTTTTAAAAATCCTTACCAGAAGCATATGAATCTTACCAACAGTTCAGGCCTGGCGATCAGCACTAAAAGAGAACACAACTGTAGACAACCCTTCATCTAATTTCAGCGACGTAGTTACCCAGATCAGAGTTCAATGACAAAACAAAAAGAAACAAATACTATATCATTTTACAAGTTTTAGATATCTGTCAGTCATATTTGTTGTCCTGTAATTTATTTGCAACATACAAAGATTGTTTTTGAACTGAAAAAACACAAACTTTGATTCATGACCTAATTATCGAGGTCAATCAACTTATTATGAAAGGTTTCTTTTTTTTTCAGTAGGTGCTCAGAGTTTGTCTAATGCAAATGCACTGTGTTTGAACAGCTGAAAGAACGCCAGGACCTCAAATGTTTGAGTTCCTGAGAGAAACTTTTCCAACCCATTTAGCTATCTGTTATATAAAATACACTTTTGGACACACTTTAAGTTCAGCTTCAACTGTGAAGGGCTCAATTCCTCTGACTGATTGAATGCTGTTCATTATTGGTCAAATTTATGGTCATGGTTCATTATGTATCTTATCAGTATTTCAATTTGGTTTTGATGATGCATCTGTGATATAACATAAAAATAACTGTCTGTAATTTTCCATTAACTTTGACATTCAATTAATAATACAATTACGTAACAAACAATATTATCACTTATTATCTTGATTTGTGCAAAATATGTGAACCATATTTAACACTCTGTAATATACGATCTGTATTGATTTTATTAAGGTGTTTTCCTTGTATTGTCAATTATGCTTTGTATCGTGTTGTGTTTTAGGGTTAAAGGAAACGTCTGTAAACTTAACAGAGGCAGAAAATTACCATTACCTTTGCCATTTTTCTACTTATTTTTTTTCTTATAGTGTAGAAATAATTTGATGAATCCAAATACAGATGTCCAAACACAAAAATACTTGATGTATACTTGATAAGTTTTATACAAAACA